CCGTAATGGCTCCACAATGTGCCTACTAGGACAACCCTTTGTGTGAGGTTCGATACACCGGCAATTCACGTCTGGCGCGTTTAGGGTTGGGGACCGAGTGGGGCGGGTAGACACGCTGTCGAGCTGCGTTGGCCACGTCCATCAATAGTACCAAAATGTCCTGCCATCAGTGCGAAAGTGGAATGATGTGGGTTCAGCGAAAATCTGCCGTTCTTCCCAGGTGCAAGCCGTCACCCAGTTCTCCAAAAGTCTGTGGTGGAACCCACCAGCAGCGACTTTGGAAATAAAGTCCTAGGAGCACTTCAACTAGATTTTGAGAAGGGCTTTGTAGGTTCTTTGTCTGCCTACTCACAAGCATTATTCATGGACGGACTAGCTAACAGCCCTATTGGGCTAATGATGATATTATTTGTCCTCGGTCTACTAACATCCTTTATGCTCTTTTTTCAGTGTTGTGAAGACTCTCCCCTTCTGTCGTTCCTCAGACGGAAGAACCGCCCCTTGCCCCGCTCTCTCTGAAAGTCTTCAGGGACACATCTGTTGCTCACCATTCCAGATGCTGCCATGCTGAAATCCCCACAACCCCCTTGAGTTGACACATCTTCTAGAAGCCAACCTACCTCCGTGCAGAGTTAAAAACGATCACATGACGATGAACATTGACAGGTTTTCGTCCTCTCTCGCGTGGACGATAATGTATACTACTAATAATAGCCCGTTTTCAGTTTTTTTCTTCTCTCTCCAACCAAACATCTGGGGGGAGGAAGGAAATACTGGTTTTTGCGCCGACCCAAACACCGGCTGCACATTGGGTAGAAAAAACCGGCAACACACAATTGCCACGGTTCGCAGCAGTTCACCAGTGTCCTTCTACCTAGATGTGTATTGCTTTCATAATACCTTCGCCGCATAAGCAGAGCCGACAGGTCCTCTAGAAACTAAGTATCCCCATGCGACAGAAGGCGGGGATATAAATGAAGCTGTTAATGTCACTTGCATGATAGTACTCATTAGGTAGCCAAAGCGATGTTTGGACAGTTGTCTTTGAGGAGGATTATCGCCCAACACGTAGTTGCCGACCGGGGCGTTGAGAAGTGGGCCGACTTCCTATGTCGGGGACATTCGATGCTTTTTTCACGGAAAACAGGGGAATATTCTCTGAGAAAGAGATTCGGTCGCTGGGATAAAACTTTTATTCGCCCGACGTTTCGATTTCCGTCGCAGATTCTTCCTCAGAGATACGAGCAGAAAATAGCGGCAGAAACGAGTGATACATGCACAGGAAGTTGCAGTAATTATAGGACACAATCATTTCTGCCCACGTATAGCATATAACGATAATTGCGCTCTTGTGCATGGATTGCTTGGTGACTGTCATGCGGGCCATGACCTGTTGAACTTGCATCACGCGTGATGGAATTGGACGTTATGATTGCTTGACCATCTGGTTCCCCGGTGTTGGCGTAAGGCGACGCGGTCCGTTCCCCAATTGGCCACTTGCTGTGGTCAAGTTGAGCCTCAGAACCGAATATGGGTTGGGCAGGTCGTTGCACTTGTTTATAGACTGCGGGCCTGTGAACCACGACTCAATTAACTCTGGGCTGACACGACTGTCATATATCCCGAACGAGAGGAGGATATACCTAGTCAGTACGAGTTAAAGGGTCGGTCCCAGAAGGTCGATCCGTCCGAGAGCTCCTCGACCGACCGACAACATCTAGATTCAAATTTCTATTTACGACTCAAGCCCAACTCTACAGCGCCTCGCTACTGTCGCGTCGGTCAGGCATGGTGGTCCCTGGGATGCGGTACCCGTAGAAGTGGAGGT